GGGCGAGCGCAGCGAGAAGTCGATGTGCTTCTGCGAGTCCAGGCGCACGATGAACGACGGGATGTTCACCACCTGCTTCCGCACCCTGCGCTCCCGAAAAAATTCCCGAAAAAATTCCGGGTCAGAACTCACCGTTCCGGGGGTTTCACGGCGAAAAAAGCGCTTTTTTCCGGGCGAAAATCGCTTTTTTCCGGGCGAAAATTGCGGTTTTTTCGAGAATTTCAGAGCGAAAAATGAGATTTAAGAGAGAAAATGACCAGGGAAATGTTAAAAAACAGAATCCCAAAAATTTGGGAATTTTTCCCAAAATTTGGCTTTTTTCCGGGTGAAAATCGCTTTTTTTTCGAGAATTTGAGAGCGAAAAGTCAGATTTAAGAGAGAAAATGACCAGAGAAATGTTAAAAAAGAGAATCCCAGAAATTGGGAACTTTTCCCAAAATTTGGGAGTCAGAATCCTAAAATTCAGGGATTTTACGGCAAAAAAAAATCATTTTTCCCTGCAAAAATTGCATTTTCCGAGAGTGAAAATCACTTTTTTTTTCGAGAATTTCAGAGTGGAAAATCAGATTTAAGCGAGAAAATGGTGTGGGAAATGATAAGAAAGAGAATCCCGAAAATTTGGGAATTTTTCCCAATATTTGGCTTTTTTACGGCCAGGAAAGCGCTTTTTTCAGCCTGAAAATTGTGTTTTTTTCGAGAATTTCAGAGCGAAAAGTCAGATTTAAGAGAGAAAATGACCTGGGAAATGTTAAAAAACAGAATCCCAAAAATTTGGGAATTTTTCCCAAAATTTGGGAGTCAGAATCCTAAAATTCAGGGATTTTACGGCCAAAAAAAATCATTTTTCCCTGCAAAAATTGCATTTTCTCAGGGTGAAAATCGCTTTTTTTTCAAGAATTTGAGAGCAAAAAATCCGATTTAAGAGAGAAAATGACCTGGGAAATGTTAAAAAACAGAATCCCAAAAATTTGGGAATTTTTCCCAAAATTTGGCTTTTTTACGGCCAGGAAATCGCTTTTTTCCGGGCGAAAATCGCTTTTTCTTTCGAGAATTTCAGAGCGAAAAATCAGATTTAAGAGAGAAAATGACCAGGGAAATGTTAAAAAAGAGAATCCCAAAAATTTGGGAACTTTTCCCAAAATTTGGGAGTCAGAATCCTAAAATTCAGGGATTTTACGGCAAAAAAAATCATTTTTCCCTGCAAAAATTTCATTTTCCAAGGGTGAAAATCGCTTTTTTTTTCAAGAATTTGAGAGCAAAAAATCCGATTTAAGAGAGAAAATGACCAGGGAAATGTTAAAAAATAGAATCCCAAAAATTTGGGAACTTTTCCCAAAATTTGGCTTTTTTCCGGGTGAAAATCGCTTTTTTCTGGGTGAAAATCGTGTTTTTTCCGAGAATTTCAGAGCGGAAAATCAGATTTAAGAGAGAAAATGACCTGGGAAATGGTAAGAAAGAGAATCCCAAAAAATTGAGGATTTTTCCCAAAATTTGCGGACTTTATGGCAAAAAAGTAATTTTTCCCTGTGAAAATTGCATTTTCCGAGAGTGAAAATTGCATTTTTTTTTGAGAATTTGAGAGAGGAAAATGAGACTTAAGAGAGAAAATGACCAGGGAAATGTTAAAAAAGAGAATCCCAAAAATTTGGGAATTTTTCCCAAAATTTGGCTTTTTTACGGCCAGGAAAGCGCTTTTTTCCAGGTGAAAATCGCTTTTTTCCGGGCGAAAATCACCTTTTTTTTCGAGAATTTCAGAGCGGAAAATCAGATTTAAGTGAGAAAATGACCAGGGAAATGGTAAGAAAGAGAATCCCAAAAATTTGGGAACTTTTCCCAAAATTNAAGAAAGAGAATCCCAAAAATTTGGGAACTTTTCCCAAAATTTGGCTTTTTTACGGCCAGGAAAGCGCTTTTTTCCGGGCGAAAATCGCTTTTTTTTCGAGAATTTCAGAGCGAAAAATCCGATTTAAGAGAGAAAATGACCAGGGAAATGTTAAAAAAGAGAATCCCAGAAATTGGGAATTTTTCCCAAAATTTGGGAGTCAGAATCCCAAAATTTGGCTTTTTTGCTGCACAAAAATCACGTTTTTGGCAGGAACGGGGATTTTTTGGGATGAGGCTCAGGGATGTTCACCACCTGCTTCCACACCCTGAATTCCCGAAAAAATTCCGGGTCAGAACTCCCGAATTCGGGGCTTTCACGGCGAAAAAAGCGCTTTTTTCCGGGCGAAAATCGCTTTTTTCCGGGCGAAAATTGCGGTTTTCTCGAGAATTTGAGAGCAGAAAATGAGATTTAAGAGAGAAAATGACCAGGGAAATGTTAAAAAAGAGAATCCCAAAAATTTGGGAACTTTTCCCAAAATTTGGCTTTTTTCCCGGGCGAAAATCGCTTTTTTCCAGGCGAAAATCGCTTTTTTTTCGAGAATTTGAGAGCGAAAAGTCAGATTTAAGAGAGAAAATGACCTGGGAAATCATAAAAAACAGAATCCCAAAAATTTGGGAATTTTTCCCAATATTTGGCTTTTTTACGGCCAGGAAAGCGCTTTTTTCCGGGCGAAAATCGCTTTTTTCCGGGTGAAAATCACCTTTTTTTCGAGAATTTCAGAGCGGAAAATCAGATTTAAGTGAGCAAATGGTGTGGGAAATGATAAGAAAGAGAATCCCAAAAATTTGGGAATTTTTCCCAAAATTTGGGGACTTTATGGCAAAAAAGTAATTTTTCCCTGCGAAAATTGCATTTTCCCAGGGCGAAAATCGCCTTTTTTTCGAGAATTTCAGAGCGGAAAATCAGATTTAAGTGAGAAAATGGTGTGGGAAATGATAAGAAAGAGAATCCCAAAAATTTGGGAATTTTTCCCAAAATTTCAGAGTCAGAATCCCAGAATTTGGCTTTTTTACAGCCAGGAAAGCGCTTTTTTCGGCCTGAAAATCGCCTTTTTTCTAGAAGTTGAGAGGAAAAGTGAGATTTAATCAGAAAATGGTCTTAGAAATGTCAGGAAAGAGAATCCCTAAAATTCGTCTCTTGACTTTCGAGAATCGGCTGCGAAAATCGGTGGGAAAACACTAAAAATTCGGGGAAAAAACCCAAAATTTGGGATTTACTCTGAAATTTTGGGATGCAAATCCTCCAAACATTTCCAAATATATTCAGAAGGGTCCTTTGAAGGGATTCCAGAAAAAAATTTAGGATTAAGATGCCAAAATTTGGGAGAAAATGCTCAAAAATTCGTCTCTTGAATTTTGAGAATCGGCTGCGAAAATCAGTGGGAAAACGCCAAAAATTTGGGGGAAAAACCCCAAAATTTGGGATTTACCCTGGAATTTTGGGATGCAAATGCTTCAATCATTCCCAAATATATTCAGAAGGGTCCTTTGAAGGGATTCCAGAAAAAAATTTAGGATTAAGATGCCAAAATTTGGGAGAAAATCCTCAAAAATTCGTCTCTTGACTTTCGAGAATCGGCTGCGAAAATCGGTGGGAAAACGCCAAAAATTTGGGGAAAAAAAACCCAAAATTTGGGATTTACTCCAAAATTTTGGGACGCAAATATTCTAAACATTCCGAAATTTATTCAGAAGGGTCCTTTGCAATGAACCCACAAAAATAATTCGGGGAAAAACCACCAAAATTTGGGAGAAAACCGTGAAAAATTCGTCTCTTGACTTATGAGTATCGGCTGCGAAAATCAGTGGGAAAACGCCAAAAATTCGGGGAAAAAACCCAAAATTTGGGATTTACCCTGGAATTTTGGGATGCAAATGCTTCAAACATTCCCAAGTATATTCAGAAGGGATTCCAGAAAAAAATTTAGGATTAAGATGCCAAAATTTGGGAGAAAATCCTCCAAAATTCATCTCTTGACTTTTGAGAATCTGCTGCGAAAATCGGTGGGAAAACGCCAAAAATTTGGGGAAAAACCCCCAAAATTTGGGATTGATCCCCAAAATTTCCGGATGTCCATCCACAAACCCATCCCAAAGTGGCCCGGAATCCCCAAAATCCGGGGAATTGGTGTTTTTTGATGTTTTTTACCTGCCGGTGCCCCGTCGGCGCCGCCCTTCGCAAGGTGTACGGCGGAGCCGCAGTGAGGCCTTGCCGAAACCCCAAAACCGCGGGGTTTTCACCCAAAAGCGGGAAGGTTTTTGACGGGCACCCACCGGATGTGGCGCTGGCGGATGAGCACCCGGGCGTGGTGGATGGATTTGGCCAGGCCCAGCTTGAAGACCTGGGTCTGGAGGCGGCGCTCCAGGAAATCCTCGATTTTCAGCCCCAAAATGTAATCCAGCTTCATCTTGCCCTCGTCCAGCACGCCGATGCGCACCAGGCGCCGCAGCAGCGCGTTGCCTGCGGGTTTGGGGGGAAAAAGGAGAGTTTTGGGAAAATTGGACGTGTCGGGGGTTTGGGGGGGAGAGAGGGGATGGGGGTGAAAATGGGGAGAAATGGGGGGGAAATTGAGTGAAATAAGGGAAAAAGAGAGGAGGGAATGGGGTCAAAATGGCAAAAGGAATGAGGGAAAAATAAGGGAAATGTGGGAAGAAAATGGAAAAAATATAAGGAGGAAATGGGGGAAATAGAGAGAAAATGTGGAGAAAACAGGGAGAAAATATAGGAAATGTAAAGAGAACATGGGAGAAATATGTGGAGAAAATAAAGAAAGAAAATGGGGAGAAAGCAAGGGAGAAAATGGGGACAAAATATGGAAAAAATGGGAGAAATATGGGGAGAAAATAAAGGGAGAAAATAAGGAGAAAATAAAGAGAGAAAATGGGGAGAAAACAAGGGAGAAAATGGGGACAAAATATGGAAAAAATGGGGAGAAAATGGGAGAAATATGGGGAGAAAATAAAGAGAGAAAATGGGGACAAAATACAGAAAAAATGGGGAGAAAATGGG